TACACTCGGGCCTAGGTTAGTAAATTATCAATAATTATTGGCATTCTATCTTTCTTATATATTAGTAAATTATTAGTAATTATTGAAAATTACCAATATTTTTTCTCTTACCAACCTAGGCCTAACATGAGCATTAACCCAACATCTTGAGTTGGGCTTGGGATTGGACATGTTGAGCTTTGTAAACCAATTTCTAGGTGAAATATATTGATAATATGTAGATATGTATATCACAAAATGTTGGGTGGGCTTAAATTGGTTGAATTGGGCTCGGACTCAGATTAGGCCTACTCAAGCTACACCCCTAACTCCTTTTGCCTCTAGTTCAATTAACAAAGCCCGTGCATTATATATATATATATATATATGTTCAACAAATTAAAAGCAATCAATCATCTTTAAGGCTTTCATCTCTCTTCATTAACTCTCCAATTCTCTCTCCTTTCAATTATTCCATTAAATTACCAAAAATTCATTGGCCCCTTTTTTTGTTTTGTTTAAATAAATGGCCAATATACCAAACACACGTGTGTGTGTGTGTCAACAATAGAGAGAGAGAACTTTTATTTGCAAGGTTTTAAAAACTGGACCGATACAAAACCGTTCTGGGGACTGCTTCCCAAGTTGAATGGCCCAACCATCTGATTCAAAGAAACAGCTCGTTCTAACTTTAAAAAATATAAACAAAAATAAATAAAATAAATAACGGCCAAANGGCCTAGGTTAGTAAATTATCAATAATTATTGGCATTCTATCTTTCTTATATATTAGTAAATTATTAGTAATTATTGAAAATTACCATTATTTTTTCTCTTAACAACCTAGGCCTAACATGAGCATTAACCCAACATCTTGAGTTGGGCTTGGGATTGGACATGTTGAGCTTTGTAGCCCAATTTCTAGGTGAAATATATTGATAATATGTAGATATGTATATCACAAAATGTTGGGTGGGCTTAAATTGGTTGAATTGGGCTCAGACTCAGATTAGGCCTACTCAAGCTACACCCCTAACTCCTTTTGCCTCTAGTTCAATTAACAAAGCCCGTGCATTTTATATATATAATATATATATGTTCAACAAATTAAAAGCAATCAATCATCTTTAAGACTTTCATCTCTCTTCATTAACTCTCCAATTCTCTCTCCTTTCAATTATTCCATTAAATTACCAAAAATTCATTGACCCCTTTTTTTGTTTTGTTTAAATAAATGGCCAATATACCAAACACACGTGTGTGTGTGTGTGTCAACAATAGAGAGAGAGAACTTTTATTTGCAAGGTTTTAAAAACTGGACCGATACAAAACCGTTCTGGAGACTGCTTTCCAAGTTGAATGGCCCAACCATCTGATTCAAAGAAACAGCTCGTTCTAACTTTAAAAAATATAAACAAAAATAAATAAAATAAATAACGGCCAAANATAATGCTCCCTCTACTAGTGGATGATCATTTTTTACCTAGCCTAGCCTTGCTAGACTTTCRAATTTTCGGGCTCAACTATTTTCTTATTGACTAAGCCCAACTTGGATCCACACCAAGCCACACATATTGCGGGCCAAGCCCTAGTTAAACAACCCCTAAGATTCACATGAAGGTCATATTACATATATAATAAATTTTATATATAATATGTTTTGCAGACTAGTGGGGACGTGCTACCCCCGACTTGTGTAGCACATTTCGGTTTCCATCAAAAAAAATTTATATATAATATTTAGATTACAAATTTTATATAGATATATAATATAATACCTCTCTCTCTCTCTCCACACCACTGCCGCTACAACTCTCAGTAACAGTGTCTTTGGGAGTAGTCGAAGGACTTACCAAACTCGCCTGATTGTTTGAAGACAGCTTGGAGATGAACATCGATAGTGTACTCGGCAATGAACTTGTTCACGGAGTCTGCGTGGTTGTGGAATCTGATATTGCCTCCACTAGAGGAGTGGGTTTGGTGGGCATTGATTGCTCTACTGCCTGCCTGAAGCCATGAATGGGAATGGGGTCTTCTTAGTTACTTTTTTCCTTCCTTTCCTTTAGTTGGATAAGCCTTCGCCCTTGGGAGAGATCTTAACAACTCTCAACTAAAAATCTTCCCCAAAAGAAAAAGAACAGACTATCTGGTGGGATTTTGATTATTTTCTAGTGAGGATAAACTATGTAGGAGAAAAAAATTTCTATAGTTCTGATCCCTCTATTGATTCCCTAGACAAACTTATCATGTTGTCCCTCCTCGTTGTGAGTAGGGATGGCAATATTGATCCTAACCCATTTGACCCACCCAACCCACACGCTCATGAACCCACCCATACCCATCCATTTCAAAGATGGGTATGGGTGGGGTTGGGTCGAGGGTCACAATGGGTCAAAAAGGTTAGGGTCAGATGGGTTAAGGGAAGTCTAGATGTTCCTTTGTTCCAGATCCACTGTTCCGCCAGTCTCCATCTGATAGTCGCAGCTGTTTGGGTTTCTCTGTTCCGCCATTATCAACGGCATTTTTCATGCCATTATCAACGGCATTTTTCATGCCATTATAGCAAGATGCAACGATGGAGCTTGACACCTTTGTTCTTGTCGTCCCTGTTCTTCCAGCCGCTAAGAGATCGAGCTTATTGTCTCTGTTCTCTTTCTTCCGCCCCCTCAAATGTTGACAAACCATTTTTATTTTCTTATTCCACCAACGACACTTGTAGCAAACATTGCTTATCATGGATCCTTGGGGCATTTTCTATTCCGAGGGTTTG